TTGACAACCTCCCCACCCCCATACCAGAGTGCAAAGGTCAGAGGACAACTTTAGGGAGTCAGTTCTCACCTTAAACCATATAAGTCCTGGAGACTGAACTGAGTCCTCAGACCTGGTAGCAAGTTTCCTTCCCACTGAGGCATCTTACTGGCTCTCTTTTTATTTTAAGTTACTTTTATAATCTGGAAATCTACGTGAAGGCTCTTTTGCATTCACTAATGTTAAATTGGAGTGGATGTAGAAGTGAGTTAGAAATCTTTGCATTTTAAACTTCAGTCACCAAATCTGAGTCCTCAGCCTCAAACCTGTACAGCTACGTTTCCAGTAGATGCCTTTACTTGTAAAAATAAAACAGTTGGCAAAAACAAAGGAAAAATAAAATATCCTCCCTTTTGATATTGCAGTTAATTGCAGAAACTCAGGTTACTTGAATACTAAGAAGCTTCTACCTTGAAATTTTCAAGAATTTCAGAAGCAAATTCTGTCTAAGGGATCAAGTCTGTGTCAAATGACCTTGTGGAAAGAGAAATGCCTGGTGTGCTCTGTTCTACTTCTGTAGATCTTCCCGCTTAGGATGAGGTGGTGACTGATACTCCAGAGTTACTCCTGAACTTACAGCAGTTTTGGGAATATAGTTGGAATCACACAGGACATATTTTCCCCCAGGTGATGATGCCCAGCCTGACCACCCTTACGCCTGTATTTATTTCCCTACAGATGGTCCTGCTGTCTAACCACTGTGTGGAGACTCTCACCTAGGCTGAGCTAGTCCTTGAAGTCATGCTCAGAACAGGGGGCTCCAAGCATGGGTTCTCTGGGTACATCTCTTTTCTTTGTGTCTTCGGCTGTTATTTCCAGCTACCCTTCTGTGCCATGGTGCCCATGTAAGGAGGAACCCCCCCCCGCCAAGGCCAGACCAGGAGAATCCAGGCTCCACACTAAGCCTATTCTGCAGTGTGAAGTGTGCTTTTCCCCAAGCAGGCCATGTTGTCCATATTTCTCCTGTGGGGGACTATCCTTCTTCTAAAGGGTGTAATACGGTTTAAGAGTAGGCACGGGGGTCTGGTGGCATACTCTATTGGCAGCCTACTTCTGTAGAATCTAGCCCTTTGTTCTCTGGGATATAGGGAATGGAACTCTTTTCAAGGAAATGAAAAAGAAAATAACCTTCTAGCAATGTGGGCCTGCTCATCATTAATTTGTACAACTAAGATGCACCATACTGGGCGTTTCCCCTAGCAAGAAGGTTTTCCAAGGTGACTTGTACTGTCTTCACTAAGGAAGATGTGCACAAAACTTTGTCAGCTTTCCTTTTGTTAAGAAACAAACTTCTTTACCTCATCAGGTAGTGTCCGCTCCTAGCAAAAGAAAAATTGTATCTATTTTTTAACATGTACCTCTTAAATGTCAAATATTCACACAAATTGCCTAATCCTTAAAATAATGGTATAGGATACATATTGCTAACGATATTTTTAATATTTTTAAGCAAAGAAAGTGAAACTCAGGTAGTTATTGAGCAACTGATTCAAAAGTATGCAAGAAAATTTGAACTGTAGTCTGCCTGACTTTGAAGCCAATGATCTTTCTATAGCATGTCAGAGCGTGTGGAAAGTCATAATGGAAAAAATAAATATTTGATAATACACAGAGATGAATAATTGCATAAGATACTCCTGGTCAGGTCAAAATCAATGAATTTATTCAGCTTTTCTAAAGGAATTGAGGTTGAAGAGTCCTTGGTTCAAGGAGCTCAGTCTGATGGGGGAGACCAGTGACATTTAAAGTATAGCAGCAAATGCAGAGCTAATGGGTTGACTTGTCAAACACTCAGGCATATAGCTGGGTATACTGGTGAGTTTTACTGTAAATTTTACCTGGTCACTTGGGAAGAGAGTTTTAGTGAGGAACTATCTAGATCAGTTTGGCCTATGGCCATGTCTGGGGCGGGGCTTGTCTTAATTGTTAAGGGATGTAGGAACACCTAGTGTAGCACTATTCCTTAGGCAGCGGATCCTGAGCAGTGTAACAGACGCAGAAGCTAGCTGGGAAAGGGGGCAATCAGTGACCCACACATTTATTTTTCTCTGCCCTTGACTACGAATATGATGCTTCAAGTTCCTGCCTTGACGTCTCTCTAATGGATTATAACCTGGAATTCTAAGCCCCAAATGTCTGTTCTTCCCTATGTTGCTTTCTGTCATGGTGTTGTGTCATGTCACAGCAAAAGAAACACAATCAGAATACTGAGGAATGCCACACCCAGCCAAAGTGTTTTCTTCAGCCATACAGATCGTGAGCTCGCTGGGAGGCCCCTCACCCCTGGCCTTCTCGGTGGTCACATGTTTTGTCACGTGTTTTCATGTGTCGTGCTTTGCTTTTCTAGTTTGGGAGACTCACACTGCTGGGTTGGTTCTTGAATGGTCTTTCAGTATTTGTGACTTTATTGCTTTTCAGCATTGAAGAACAGATTTATTTTTATTGACAAGTTGGCAGGACATGGTGTTTTGGGGAAAGAGGTGAAAATAAGAGGGTTAATGGAAGGATCTAGAAAATGCCTCACGTGCTCTCCTCAAAAGATGAAAATTCTATATCTCTTAGGATTAGGGACAGATTTGAGTATGTGTATCGGTTTCAGTGTGAGGCTGTCTGTGATTGATATTAATTACAGCTAAGAAATACTACAATCTGTGTCTTGATTTAGTGGGAACTATTTATCATCATCACACACACATACACATACACACTCCATTTGTAACTGCTTTGGTTTTAGTTTAAAAATTTTACTACTCCATGCACAAAATTCTATGTCACCCTCTTTGAGTGAAAACCCACCATATAATGGTTTTTCAGTCTAAAAATTATCATTAAAATAGTTTCAGATCTACTATAAATAATATTCAACTCATGATTATGTATAGAGTTTAGTATTAAATAGATGCTAGTGTTATTGAAAAGGAGTTTAAAATTAAGGCAATTCAGTCCATAGACCATGTATGCTTTTAAAACCAAAACTGATTTAAAAAACAAGCCATGAAAATATTCCCTTGTCTTCAGATAGCCATGAACACATGAGAAGATGTCTGGAAGATGGGTCTTGCACAACTTGCTGTCCCTCCATGGACTCCTTCCTATCTAGCATGCTGGCCCCAGCACATTTTTCTTCTTATGTCTCTTAGTTAGGAGAAAGTCACTCTATATTCAATCTTAAACGTCCGGTCCTTGTCACCTGCCAACAAAGTTTACCAGGAGGATCTGGCATGGTTTCCCACTTGGCACCAAGTATCACAGAACTATCTTCATGTGAATTATTGAATTAAGACTACCCTGCCTTTTGTACCCCTTTCCTCCCTGTGCTTTGTGCAACTGAAGCTGAGTTGGACTGCCTCATCTCTCACCATGGCAGGAAAGCACCATTCGAAGACAGAAAGATACAGACCTACCATGATCAGCAGATTGTCCCTGTGGCCCAGCTATACTGTGTCCGAGTATTTATCCAAAGCACTCCAAGTTGATCTATCTCAGAGATACGTGCATGCCCATGTTGACTACAATACTATTCATAATACCTGAGTTATGGAATCAACCCAGGGGTCTAACAACAGAGGAATGGATAAGGAAAATGCTGTGCATTTACACAATGGAATTTTTCCTAGTTGTAAAGAATGAATGAAGTTATACCACTAGAGCAGAACGGATGCAACTGGAGATAATCCCGCTGGACGAGTTAGTGTAACTACAGAAAGACAACTACTTCTTGTTTGCTCTCATTTGTGGCT